TCTATATGGGATCCGAACCCTCGGCGGGAGCACCACCACACTCCCAAGTGCCGCACTCTACTGAGTGCACCACCGGGCCGGCCCCAAATGTCTTTCTTATACTGTGAATAGCTCTCACATAATTACACTACATTGACATTGCTATGTTAAAATAATAATGAAAAAGTTATTAAGTGATTTTTATGTGCTAGGCATTGTTAAAGCACTTTGCGTGCATTTCGTGAAATCATTTAATCCTCCTAAAAACCCTGTGAAACTGAGGTTCAAAGAGGTTAATTGCCTGCCCAAGATATTTCAATCTGTTTCTATCTTACTAGAGAACTGGAGTTGCTAGGTCTACTTTTACTGACTAATCCTATATAACCTAAAAGATCTTACCTGATAATTTAGGTATTACAAATATAGTTCCATCATCACCAATGCAGCTGACTATTGCCTCAAATATTTTCAGGTTAGGAATAGCTGGCGGTTTATAGCATCCAGTGGTTCTTGGTTCTATAATTTTCTCTTTAAATTCAGACACTTTGTGTTCACTGATTATATCAGCAGCTTTTTTGTCAGGGTCAAAATTAATTTTAATATACTTAGTAACTACTGAATCTTCTTGTTCCAGGGGGATTTCCAGAGACTTCCCAGATAATGAATGGCTGTTATCTAATTTATTAATTCTGTAACATCCAAAAAAGAACACTTCTAAACATGAGCAAATATAAAATTCTGGAGAAAACAATGTAAAAAGAACCCTTCAAATATACCTGAAATTTAAAGAAAATATTTGCTCTAGTCTAGGATATACTAATCTAACTTGTTACATGAAAATGAGCATAATTTAAGTTATAATGAAAATTATTTTAAATTATAAATGAGATTAATGAGAAAAAAGCAATATAATTTCACTCTTATGTTTTAAATTACTACCTTGTATCTACATGCTCTTCCCTCAAAATTTCATACATATATCCAGATATTGTACAATGAACTACAGATTACTGGAAAATATAATGCCAAGTTGATTCTAATTTAGTCCAGAGATAGAACCTATAAACATCGTATCTACATGCTCTTCCCTCAAAATTTCATACATATATCCAGATATTGTACAATGAACTACAGGTTACTGGAAAATATAATGCCAAGTTGATTCTAATTTAGTCCAGAGATAGAACCTATAAACATGGACAAGTTATCGACATTCATAAAATCATACAAAGAGAACATGAGTCTCTTAAAATAACAATAAGGTACGACTGAGATATTAGGTGTTGGTGGTAATATGCTGTATTTACTCAATTTTTTTACTTCATGTTTTTCCCTTCCAATTAAAAAAAAAGAGGGCTGTCTTGTTAGCTCAACTGCTGATAACACCAACATCCCCACCGGGGTTTGGTCCCCACAGGCCAGTCGCCAACAAAACAAAACAAACTACACAAAGCCAGTTAAAAAAAGAGTAAGCCTATAGTACAAACATTAAAATCCTATAAAGAAATATTAAAACTGACTGTGTTTCAGCAGAATTACAGCAGATTTCTGTTTCTTCTAAGTTCCTGTACTTTTCTTTTAAAAGGAAATAAGCACTGATGAAACAGTTAACATAATTCCTCAACTAATCCTGTCTCCCACCCCTGCCTTAAAATAGCTGGTAGTTTTAGAGCCATAAAAGCAGTAAAGAATATCACAATTAGTGGCAGATAATGTTAGTATTAACTTACCTAACATTTTTCAGTTTAATATTTCTTTTATCAAAGAATTGCTTTATTCTAAAGCCAACAAACTCCAAAAGAGACAAATGTGGGATTAAAAATGTGGAGCCTAGCTGTATGCCAAGGCCTAGGCAATTCATCCAGCATCTACCACATCTAGCCAACTATCTCATGTCCCATTTTATTTTTGATTTCTCATACTAAGGTCTTGGTCCAAATAAGATAAGTTACAATTTAAAGCAACCAAATCTAGGAAGATCTGGCCATATATGGTATGAAATGGCTGCCTAGAACATGTGTTTGCAATTCTAATACACCTCTCCATCCAGGAGGAGACAGAAAAGAGTAAGGCAGGGCTACAGCAAATCCTGATCCTCTCCCCCTGCATCAAAGTTAGTACCCGATAGCATCTTTAAATGGAATTATAGCTCAATTACTTTTTTACTACTCATCCCTCTTTCATATAAATACACTGTGGTATATACCTACCAGAATTTCCAACATAAAGTGTAAGCACTTCTAAGCAAAGGATGCCAAAGGGCTCAGATATGGTATCCACTATCTAGTTCTCTTTTCCTTTGGTTTACAGTGCAAGTGCCAAAGGAAAGGGGAAACTATAAAAGCAAATACAATGTAAGAACTGATGGCTCTAAATAAAGAAATGAACAGTTCTGAAAGAATTTGTCTGAGCTGGCTCCTCAGGGTTAGTTTAAAAATCATCTTTAAGAGCAAACAAGATGCAATTCAGGTTTGAAAGGACACATATATAAAGATTTACACAGGAACATAAGAAGCGGCCATCACAAACTGATGTCAAAAAATTTTCTTTTTAAAAAGTCTATACCTCCTTTCTCTGAAAGCCAAACCCTTTTTAATCAAATACTTAGAAACATCAACACGCTCTCCTTTTTCATCTTTGCAGAAAATTTTCACAGGTAATGGCCATGTTGTGCTGTTTTCCTGCAGTGATTTAAGAGCAGAGTAAATATGAGACACAAAAATGAAGTCTTCTTATAAACAATTTACTTTTTGTAGGCATTTCCTCTACATTTCTCTAAACAAGAAAAAAATTCCCAACTGAGTAAAGTTATTTTGATATCCAAATACATCACAGAGCATGCAAGAGAGTCAGTGGAAACAGATAGTTGTTTTGTGAAATGTATAAGGAAGACCTCACTGCCCAGGTAAAACTTGCCCCCTCCCCCCAAAAAAAAGCAAACTAAAACTTTTTTCTATCCCAGAATTGGGGGAATGGGTAGACAAAACACCAGTTAACAAGTTACTCTATTCCTCTAAAGTCTCTGCAAATTATACAATCAAAATATATCATCCAAGGTGTGTCCTTTTTAACCTACAAAAGCAAAAGAAATTACTACAAAACATATATTCTGCTTCATATGAAAGAAATTATAAAAATGGAGAAACTACACAGATGGAAAAACAAGGCATGGAAAAATAAGTTACATAAGAAAACTCAAATCATTAATGCAATAAAACTTATTTAAATTAGAAAAAGTAAAGGAAGCAAAGAATATGTTTAAGTGTTCTAAAGAGATGTATGCCTCTCTCATACACAAATCCATACTGTCTCACACACACATTTTATAACATACAGTTAAAATGATTTCACTTGAAGCCTAACTTTCTAGTTCAGTAAAAGAATATCAAAAGGCCTCAGAAATGTGCTCTAGCATATACATGTTATATTTCTAACATGCAAATTGTCAACTCAAGAATATTACTTTATAAATATTTTGATTCAGGCCCAGAGAGGCCTGAGAGCCGCTGGGCCCACAAGCCCTGAGTCAGCTGTGCCGGAACAGGCAGACACCATGGGACCTCCAGCCCAGGTCACTCCTCGCCGTTTAGAGAGGCCTGAGAGTCGCCAGGCCCACATGCCGTGAGCCAGCTGTGCTGGAACAGGCACATGCCATGGGACCCCCAGCCCAGGCTAGTCTGTGCTGTCCAGAATTTGCAGTCCTTTCAGGATCCAGGCCACATATCAGGGTGGAACGAGTAGATCGTGATACACCCTGCCACAATGACTAAACACCAAAGGAAAGTTACCAGAAATATGAAAAATCAAGAAAGTACATCACCACCAAAGGAAAATAATAACTCTCCAGTTCTAGATCCTACAGAGCAGGAAGTTCTTGAAATGACTGACAAGGAATTTCGAGAAACAATTCTAAGGAAACTAAATGAGATACAAGAAAACTCAGTTAGACAACACAAAGAAATGAGAAAAAATACACAGGACCTGAAAGAAGAAATGTACAAAGAAATCAATGCCCTGAAAAAGAATGTAGCAGAGCTTGTGGAGCTGAAGGATTCATTCACCGAAATAAAAAACACAACAGAGAGTCTAACCAAAAGGCTAGAACAAGCAGAAGAGAGAATTTCTGACCTTGAAGACAGGCTGTTTGAATAAACACAGGTGGACCAGAAAAAAGAAAAAAGAATTGGAAAAATTGAAGAAAATCTAAGAGAGAAAACAGATAACCTTTAGCACTCAAATAGCAGAATCGTGGGTATTCAGAAGGGGAGGAAAAAGGAAATGGAATTGAAAATATATTCAACAAAATAATAGCAGAAAACTTCCCAGGTATAGGGAAAGTCACAGATCTTCAGATTCAGGAGGCCCAAAGACTCCCAAACATATTCAACCCAAAAAGGTCCTCTCCAAGACATGTTATAGTCAAACTGGCAAAACTCAAAGACAAAGGGAGAATCTTAAAAGCTGCAAAAGAGAAGCCGCAAGTCACCTATTAGGGAGCCCCAATCAGATTAACATCAGACTTTTCATCAGAAACCCTAAAAACTAGAAAAGAATGGGATGATATATTCAAAATACTAAAGGACAAAAATTGCCAGCCAAGAATACTTTACCTAGCAAAGCTATCCTTCCAAAACAAAGAACAAATAGTATATTTCTCAGACAAACAAAAACTGTGGGAGTTCACTACCACATGACCAGCCTTACAAAAAATTCTTAAAGGAGTACTTGGTTTCTTACCTGAAAAACAACCACCACTGCCATGAATACTCAAGAAAGAACAAAACCTACCAATAAAACAAAAATGCTAACAATGAAGAGAAAAGATAGTTTATCTACCACTCCAAGAGACCAACAAACACAGAAGACAGAAAATCAGAAAGAGAGGAACAAAAGATACTTAAGACATCTAAACAAAAATCAAGGGCCGAGCCCGTGGCGCACTTGGGAGAATGCAGCGCTGGGAACACAGCAGCGCTCCCGCCGCGGGTTCAGATCCTATATAGGGATGACCGGTGCGCTCACAGCGCTCACTGGTTGAGCGCGGTGCGGTTGGGCTCAAAAAGGACAAAAAAAAAAAAAATCAATAAAATACTAGGAGTAAATCAACACCTTTCAATAATACCTCTAAATGTAAAGGGATTATATTCCCCAATAAAAAGACACAGACTTGACTGACTGGATTAAAAAGATGGACCCAACAATATGCTAACTTCAAGAGAATCACCTCATCTGTAAAGACACACATAGACTAAGAGTGAAAGGATAGAAAAAGATATACCATGCAAATAGAAATGAAAAACGAGCTGGAGTAGCTATTCGTATATCAGATAAAGTAGACTTTAAAGCAAAAACCACAAAAAGAGATAAAGAAGGCCACTATATAATGATAAAAGGATCTATCCATCAAGAAGACATAACAATCATAAATATATATGCACTTAATATTGGAGCAACCAGATTTATAAAGCAAACACTATTAGACCTAAAGAATGAGATAGACACTGACACCATAATACTTGGGGACCTGAACATCCCACTCTCAAAATTGGACAGATCATCTAGGCAAAAAAATCAACAGAGAAACACAAGATCTAAAGAAAACTTTAGAACAACTGGACTTGGCAGATATCTTCAGAACATTCCATCCAAAAATCTCAGAATTTTCATTCTTCTCATCAGCACACGGGACATTCTCCAGGATAGACCATGTTAGGTCACAAATCAAGTCTCAACAAATTTAACAAAACTGGAATTATTCCATGTATTTTTTCAGATCACAATGGATTAAAATTAGAAATCAATAACAAACGAAACTCCGGAAACTACACAAACACATGGAAATTAAACAACATTCTACTTAATGACATATGGGTTCAAGAATCAATTAAACAGGAAATCAAAAAATTTATTGAAACTAATGAAAATAATGACACATCATACCAAAACCTGTGGGATACTGCATAAGTAGTACTAGGGGAGAAATTAATCACTTTAAAAGCTTACTTCAGAAAAATGGAAAGATGGCAAATAAACAACCTAACAATTCATCCTAAAGAACTAGAAAAACAAGAACAATACAAACCCAAAGTTAGTAGACAGATAGAAATAATTAAGATCGGAGCAGAACTAAATGAAATAGAAACCTGAAAAACAATACAAAAGATTAATGAAACAAAAAGTTGTTTTTTTGAAAAGATAAATAAAACTGACAAACCTTTAGCATGGCTAACTAAGAAAAGAAGAGAGAAGAACCAAATAACAAAAATTAGAAATGAAAAAGGTGATATTACAATTGATACCTTAGAAATACAGGGAATCATTAGAGACTACTATAAACAACTATATGCCAACAAATTTGAAAATCTGGAGGAAACGGATAAATCTCCAGACACATACAAACTACCAAAACTGAGCCAAGAAGATACAGAAAATCTGAACAGCGCAATAACAATAAAAGAGATTAAAGCTATTATCAGAAGGCTCCCAACAAAGAAAAGCCCAGGACTGGATGGATTCACCGCAGAGTTCTACCAAACCTTCAAAGAGGAATTGATACCAATTCTCTACAAACTATTCCAAAAGATTGAAACAGAGGCCATTCTCCCAAACTCATTCTATGAGGCAAACATCACCCTGATACCCAAACTGGAAAAGATGCATCAAAAATGGAAAACTACAGGCCAATATCCTTGATGAACATAGATGCAAAAATCATCAATAAAATAACTAGCTAACAGAATACAGCAACACATACACAAAATTATACACCATGATCAAGTGGGATTCATCCCAGGGATGCGAGGTTGGTTCAACAGACGAAAATCAATAAATGTGATAAACCACATCAACAAAAGCAAAGACAAAAACCATATGATCATTTCTATGGACGCTGAAAAAGCCTTTGACAAAATTCAACATTTGTTCAGGATAAAGACTGTCTATGAGTTAGGTATAGATGGAAAGTATCTCAATACAATTAAAGCCACATATGATAAGCTCACTGCCAATATCATCCTGAATGGGGAAAAGCTATAAGCTTTTCCCTTAAGAACAGGAACTAGACAAGTATGCTCACTCTTACCACCCCTATTCAACATAGTGTTAGAAGTACCAGCCAGGACAATCAGAGAAGAGAAGGAAATAAAGGGCATCCAGATTGGAAAGGATGAAGCCAAACTGTCCCTGTTTGTGGATACGATCCTATATATTGAACAGCCTTAAGCCTCTACAAAAAAACTCCTAGAGTTGATAAATGATATGAGCAAAGTTGCAGGATACAAAATCAACACACAAAAATCAGTAGCATTTCTATACTCCAACAGTGAACATGCAGAAAAAGAAATCAAGAAAGCTAGCTGATTTACAATAACCACCAAAAAAATAAAATACCTCTAAATGTAAAGTTAACCAAGGAATAAAGTTAACCAAGGATGTGAAAAATCTCTACAAAGAGACCTACAAACTACTGTTGAGAGAAATTAAAGAGGACACAAGAAGATGGAACAATATCCCATGCTCTTGGATCAGAAGAATTAACATTGTGAAAATGTCTATATACCCAAAGTGATCTACAGATTCAATGCAATTCCCATAAAAATTCCAATGATATTTTTCTCAGAAATGGAAAAAACTATCCAGACATTTACACGGAATAACAAGAGACCATGCATAGCCAAAGCAATCCTGAGCCAAAAAAATAAAGCTGGAGGCAAAACACTACCTGACTTTAAACTATATTACAAAGCTATAATAACCAAAACAGCATGGTACTAGCATAAAAACAGACACACGGATAAATGGAATAGAATAGAGAACCCAGAAATCAACCCATACACCTACAGCCATCTGATCTTTGACAAAGGCACCAAGTTTACACACTGGGGAAGAGACTGCCTCTTCAGCAAATGGTGCTGGGAAAACTGGATATTCCTATGTAGGAGAATGAAACTAGACCCATACCTCTCACCATATACCAAAATCAACTCAAAATGGATTAAAGAATTAAATATACATCCCAAAACAATAAAACTCCTTAAAGAAAATATAAGGGAAACACTCCAGGGAGTAGGAATGGGTACAGACTTCATGAATATGACCCCAAAAGCACAGGCAACCAAAGGAAAAATAAACAAATGGGATTATATCAAACTAAAAGGTTTCTGCAGAGCATAAGAAATAATCAACAGAGTGAAAGACAACTGACAGAGTGGGAGAAAATATTTTCAAAATATACATCTGACAATGGATTAATATCCAGAATATACAAGGAACTCAAACAACTTTACAGCAAAAAACCAAATAACCCAATTAAAAAATGGGCAAAGGAGCTGAATAGGCATTTCTCAAAGGAAGATATATGAATGGCCAACAGACACATGAAAAAATGCTCAATATCTCTCAGCATTCGGGAAATACAAATCAAAACCACTTTGAGATACCATCTCACTCCAGTCAGGATGGCTAATATCCAAAAAACCAAGAATGATAAATGCTGGTGACATTGTGGAGAAAAAGGAACTCTCATACACTGTTGGTGGGATTGCAAAATAATGCAGCCTTTATGGAAAATGGTATGGAGGTTCCTCAAACAATTACAGATAGATCTACCATATGACCCAGCTATTCCACTGCTGGGTATATACCCAGAGGAATGGAAATCATCATGCCAAAGGGATACCTGTACTCCAATGTTTATTGCAGCACTTCACAATAGCCAAGAGTTGGAACCAGCTCAAATGTCCATCTTGAGATGAGCGGATAAGGAAACTGTGGTATGTCTACACAATAGAATACTACTCTGGTATAAAAAAGAATGAAATACTACCATTTGCAACAACATGGACGGACTTAGAGAAAATTATATTAAGTGAACAAGTTAGGCATTGAAATATTCTCACTTATTTGTAGGAGCTAAAAATAAATAAATATACAAACAAATAAAGGATGGGGGAAGAAGACACAACAATCACAATTCTTTGAATTTGTTCAGACAAATGAACAGAAATGATGTAGTGGGGTGCGGGGTGAGAGGGAGAGAAGAAAGAGGAACAGGTAAACGGACAAGAAAATCAAGTACAATGTATACCGAGAAGTTAAAATAAAAAAAATTTTTTTTGATTCATTTGTATGATCATTTGTGGGACATCTATTATCAAACAGGCTTTATACCTTGAAATAAGAATAACAAAGTTTGCAGTAAAATCCAAATAGCTTATTATTATTTCCTCAACATGAAAATAAATGGAATTAATGAAAACATCAATAAAATAATTAGTGCACATCTGTTGTGTCTACCCTTCTACCCACCTGTAAGATTATAGTTGCCACAGCTCCCGTTAGGTACAATGAAAGACAGTCACAAGCTGTTGCTGTCCACTTGTCATTTCCACCAGTTGGTCTAAAAAAAATACTGACACTTTAGAATAACAGCACTGAATACTGAAATATATAAGAAATGCTCTACACACACGTATAATCTGGACCACCTAAATATGTACAGAGAAATCCATCTAAACATGGATCCATGTTATTCTCATAATTTTCTTCCCCAATTTTGTCACCTTCTGTTCTACTTAAGGCTCATAATACATGTTAACTTATTTGTGTATTATCTGTTCTGCAGCTACACTGAGGATCCCTAAAAAGTAGGAATGTTTTAAGTATTTTTAGTCATTACATACATTTCATATATGTCAACTAAACTCTGAGGGAGCAGGAATAATGCATTAAGTCTATCATCATATTCCCTAATGCCTAGCAGAGTACTTAGCACACAGACGGCACTCCAGAAATATTTAAAGGAAAGATGAAAAAAACAGTCCCTTTGCAATGATGATCACACTGCCCTTTCTTAGATGTTTTCTGGAATTTGAATCACTATCCATAAATATCACCCTCAATAGTTTAAAGAAGTTTCAATTTTTGTTTTTAATTGATTTAATTCTTGATTCAACAAGATTACTTAAATAGTTTGATATATGTAGTCATACAATTTTAAATGCCTATAAAATTTAGCAGATCAGTGCCAAATTTTTTTGGCAAAGACTGAATGGCAGACTGCACAGTAAAAAAAAAAAAATCCCTAAATAAAAATTTGACAGATCAATGAAAAGCAGAATATCCAACTTCATCATCCATTTTTGTTTGCAGAGTTAAAACTGAGTGACTTTAGATATTTCTAACCATCAAATCTACCGCCAAAGAATAAAGAATTAGTATCACTGAAGAGATTGTTGGTTACATAATGCTCTCTAAACATGGTTTTTAGATCCAGAGTCTCACTAAGCTGATCTATCAACTGAATAAATACCTTATGTCCTCAATGTTTTCACATTAAATGATTTATATGAATGAACTAACCAAATCAACTGGGCACATACCTTGACCAAATACGATTTGGTAAATATGTTACACTATTTATTAAGAAGCCCAAACAGTGTTCTTGTGAGCTAAGAAGCTTAAATTTTAATAAATTCTACAATTAGTTGTGCTTTCCTATTTATGATGATGGTATACAAATAAAAATCAGTGTACCATTAAGGTTTTCCTAAAATTATAATATTAACTTTCAAACATCTAAAAAATATTTAAATTTTAAATAATTTATGGTTACAAATTTTCAGTTGGAGAAGATGAAAAGTTCTGGAGGTGGATGGTGGTGTAGGCTGCACAACAATGTGAACATTCTTAATGCCACAGGACTGTACTCTTAAAGTGGTAAAAAGAGTACATTTTATGTGATGTCTCTTTTACCACAATAACAAAAATCATGGAAAAGGATTTCTTAGAATGGCTCTAACACAATGGTTAGAGCTCCAGTTCTGGATTCAGACCTGGTTTATAATCCTAGCTCAACAGTCAGTAGATGTTTAACCCTGGATAATAAAACACTTAACCTCAGGAAGATTCAATTTCCTTATCTGTAAATAATACCTTATCTACAACTTAGAGGTTTGTTGCGAGGATCAAGTGAAATAGTGCCTGTAAGGCAATTAATAGAGGGTCCAGAAGTGCTTAAATTTAGCTATTATCATTAGACTCTTAAAATGATGATGCTATTCCATCCTAATCCATAAGACACAATTCAAGTTGTGTACAATATTAGATACAATCATGGGACTGATAGGATTCTGTCCAATTATTCTAATTGAAGTATTTAAGATGGAAGTGATAACTAGGATAGGATTTATATAATGTGGGCCCGAGATTTCCATTCCAGTGCACTGTCAGAATTTACAGATATGGTCCCACAGTCACTATCAGTGATCACAGGCAATGGGGGAGGTGCCTGTAAGACTGGAGAAAGGTTCTGTGCAAACAGCTGAACTATGGAAAGTACTGCTGATGAACATTAAACAGATGGTCCACGAGCAGTTAGAGTAGAAAGGGGTCACTAAGAAGAAGGTATCCTACTCTAACCTCAAGTTTTAAAAAAATCATGTTTCAAAACAGATAAATGAAACCAATGATAGATTTACACATAACTTTGGGCAAGGTACCCTTTCTCAGTGCCAGTTTCTTCAACTGTGATATAACAACAGTTCCTATTATCAATATTGTTGTGAGAACTAAGTGAACTTAATACATGTAAAGTACGTCATACAATGTCTGCCCTAGTAGACAATAAATGTCAGGTGTATTGTATAGTGTATCGAGTTCTTTCACGAGATCTTTGTGGATAGGATTAAAAATAGACTAGATAAACCAATAGTTTTTTTTTCTTTAAATCACACAGAAGTTCATTAAAGTTTATATAATAATGTTGAAAGGGTCTAAGATCTTTTAGCTTTACTTGAGAATAAATTTTTAATATTCCTATTTATATCCATGTCTGAAAAACCTACATACATATCCAAGAGTACTTCAAAAAGTTCTTGGAAAACAGAACTAAAAGATAGTACAAATCTTTCCATGAGCTTTCTGAAGACCCCTTGTATGTTGTATGTATGTGTACATATCTTTTAGCCATGTAACATGCAATTAGCTTCAAATGAAGGAGCAAATTTGAGACAATCCAAAACTACAAGCTTCCCCAGATGATTTGGATAACTGTAAGTAGCACATCAAAGTAACAGGAAATGATCTACCAGCAGGCTTGATTAACAGTACAGCTGCTTCACATATGTAAAATTATATCTAGTACTTCATGGTTAATAAGAGCTAAGATTTATTCTTTTTTTTTTTTTTTTTGTCTTTTGTCTTTTTCCGTGTCCGGCAACGGATCACAACCCTCAGTGCTGCCCCCGTACAGGACCGGGGACCGGCAACGGGATCGCAACCCTCGGTGTTGCTCCCGCGCCTCGCTCAGCCA